AAGCTATAAGTATTACTACTTAAGATTTAGATTTCTACTTAATAATAATTAAGTACTATAATAATATAATATAGTAATTTTTACTATCTATAGCTTATATATTATATAACTATAATAAAATACTATAATAATATAAAAAGCTTATTTTAACTTAACTTTAACTTAGCTTATACTTACTTTTATTTATATTAACTTAACTTTAACTTAATACTAGTTAGCTTTAACTTAACTATAACTTATACTAAAAAAACTAGCGTAAGTAAAAGTTAAGTTAAAGTTCAACTATTTTTTATTTAGAGTCTGTTAGTTTTTGCTAATAAGAGTATATTTCTATTCTATATTACTTTAGTTATAATAGCTATAATTAAGACTTTACTCTGTCTCTTTAATTAATAACAAAGTAGTGTTTATATATTTTATATTTTTTATATTATAAAGCTTATAGCTAAATTCTCTATACTTATAGCGTTAAAATAGTGTATAGAACGCTTCTATAGCTCTTAAAATAGCTAAGTTAGCTCTATATAAGTAATAATAGTAATAAGAAAGTATAGCTTATAACTATAGCTAGTAACTATAGCTTATAACTATAGCTTATAACTATAGCTATAGTTTAAGCTATATTTATAAAGCTACTATGTAAAGTATAGTAGTAAAATAGTATATAAAATCTTCTTCTTACGTACGTAGAATTTCTTCTTATCTTTTGTATAATATTATTCTACTAACTATTATCTTATATATCTTATTAAGACAACGTTCTATTAAAAAGAACTATTCTAACTAATAATTAAATATCTAATATACTATATTCTACTAATAGTTATATTCTAGTACTAGCTAACTTTGCGCGCGTTCTTAAGACGCCTATAATATTTTTCTTACTTAGTAAGAAGAAGACTTTAAGAGTAATTACTCTATATACTATTACTATATATATCTATAGAAGGCAAGCTTAGAACTACTTTAAGATATATAACCTTTAAAATATATACTTAGGTTATAGTAGTCTATATAAGAAGAGAGGCCTTACTACTTTTTACTTTAGCGTTCTTACTACTAAGTAGTAAGAGAGAGATAAAGTTAAAGCTCTTTATAATTACGTTTATAAGAATAGGCTCTAAAAGTAATATAAGCGTATTAAGTATATAAAGAGATAAGAATCTAGTAAATAGAAGTACTAGAAACATAACTAGATATATTCTTAGAATCTAGTTAAGAAAGCTAAGCTTATAGTGTAGGCATAGAGAATCTATAACATAATTAGTATATTATATAGTAATATTATAGGCTAGGCTAGACCTTACTACTACCTACTTAGAGCCTGCGTTATAAGCTTAGTAAGTACTACTAAGTTACTACTAGGTTGCTAGTAATACTCTATAATAGGTTATAATACGTATTAATAGGTAATATAATAGATAATATAACTAATAATATAACTAATAATATAAGAATAATATAAAGATAAAAGATAACTTAGATAGAGCGTACGCGTATATAATACTAGAGGCTACTAGATATAATAGACTAGGTAATAGTAGATATACTAGGCTACAGCGTCTGCGTAAGTACTACGTAAGGTATAGTGTAACGTTACTACTACTATAGTATAAGTACTACGTAAGGTAGCTAGGTTATTATAATATTACTACTACTACTATAGGCTACGTAAGTACTGCGTAAGGTGTAGTAGAGCTATTATAATATTACTACTACTACTTTTATTATTATTATTATTAGTAAATAAAGAAAGTAATTAGCTAAGACTTTAAATAATATTATTACTTTCTAAGTTAACTATATATCTACCTACACGCGCATTTATAGCTATAAGTGTAGTAAAGCGCTATAAGCGCGTAATATATATATATCTGTAGTAATAAAGCTATAGTAGAAAGTTTAACTATAACCTAACTTATACCTATTCTTAGGTATACTATACCTATTTACTAGCGTAGTAGTTAGAGCTAGTATTATAAATTAATTTTATAGCTTTATAATATTTTTTATTTATATAGAAAAGTAGTATTATAGAAGAAAAAGATCTACTTCTAGACTAGCGCCTTAGTAAATAAAACTAGGATTATATTAATACATTAAGGGCTATCCTCTACTCGCAGCCTTTACGACGCCAGCGCGTCAACAACACGTCTTAGCCAACCTCTTCAAATCTTCCCTTTTCATGTTTTCTAGATCGTGCGACCTGATTTCGCGGTAGTCTCTTGCTTTGACTTCAGCCCAAGAGCGGCGTTGACATCTCGGAACGCCATCCGAATGGAGTATGCACGTCGCGCACAACGGAAGTCGCACTTCCAAGAACGATAGGGTCATGTTGCTATCATACCGACACATTATGGCTATCGATTCATTCTACGAAAACACATCCATCATCTACTGAACATTCGAGATCTTGAAGCCACCAGGCACGAGCTTCTGGAAAACACCGGAAGGATCATACTTTTTCGCTGCAGCCTTCATCTTCTTCACGGAAGCGGAACCATAACTTGCGAGGGGATCTTGGGTATTGTCCGCGTAGTTGAGGTATAGGTACGGGTTGTCGGCACCGATGCTCTCAGCATATTCGCGGATTCCGTTGACGAGATCGGCGCCTGCGCCTTGGAAGAGCGCGTCTTGTTCAGCACCCTGCCAAGAGATGTAGGGTTGGTATACTATTGTTACTGATCAGCATGCAGTTGTTACGAAGTCCCATATCTAACTTACGACACAGCACCTGTTCACCAAACCGTTCCAAGCCCAGCATGTTGCCGCCCTTGGACGCGCTCTGCCTCCAGTACGAAGGCGGAAGGGGCTGATAGAGCACATAGATCTGCCAGTCACCCGTAGCCTTGGCCTTCAGGTTGGACAGCACATCCATGTAGATCTCATGGGCTTTGGTCATGACGCGAAGATCGTTCGCGAAAGTCAGTGTGCCAAAGTATACGCTGGGTTTGGATCAGCATCCGTCAAGAGCAATGGCGGCTAGCTTACCTGTGTGTAGTAGCGCCCGCGAGTTCCGCTGCCAGCGATGACATGTTCCTGATACCTGTGGAGTCAGAGATGTTGCCAGGAATCGCCAAAAACTCGTCATAGGCCGCGGGTCTCGATACTGGCTCAGCATAGTCGTACGCGTTCAAGATCAAATCGGCGCCCGCCGAGCTCTGATACACCGGCATGACAATAGCTGAGCCCTTCGGTTCCTTGTCAATGTTATTGGAGAAGTTGATCAAGGCCTTGAAATGGTCTTGAATGGTCGACTCTGGGTAAATGACGAGCCCACCCCACATGCCGGCGTAGTCGAAGGTGCCGAATTTGAAGCTAGTAACGATGCCGAAGTTGTTGTTGCCACCTTTGAGAACAGCAAAGAGATCTGGATGCGAAGTCTTGGACGCGGTCACGATACGACCGTCAGCGAGGACAACCTCGAACTCGATGACGTTGTCGCAGACCAGACCCCGCCCCGGTGAGAAGTACGAGATTCCACCCCCGAGCGTAAGACCACCGACACCGACTGTGGACGAACGTCCACCACTCGTCATCGCGTTCAGTGGTTCCAGAGTGTCGTATACGTCGTTCCAGGTTGCCGCAGGACCGACCTTGACCATGGCCTTCTTAGCATCATACTCGACGGTGCTGAGATAGTGCAGGTCGAGTGTTACGCCATCCTCAATGTTTGAGGCTCCGACGTATGGCGTGTGTCCACCACTGCGAATCGCAAACTTGCATGACTTCAGCCGACTAGCGGCTGTGAGGGTCTTGACAGCAAGGGCGACTTCTTTTGCGGTCTTGGGCTGGACAATGCAGTTGGGTGTGATAACCTGCTGCTTCACATCGAAGTATGAATCCTCCCGCGTCTCATATGCATCTTGACTAGGGTATAGCAGCCGACTCTTTAGGGACGTGAGAGCAAGAGCGGAGCACTGTAGATGTTAGCAGACGTTTCGAAGAGAAGGTAATTTGGGAGCAGCCTCACGCAATAGTCAGCATGCGCGAATGGGATGACAGCCGCTGCCGCAAGTAAGGTAAGGGATAAGCGAGTCATGGTACTGACAAGTTAATAGATGGAGAGATAACACAAGGAACACTCGATGGTCGAAACGTTGACGCAGGCTGTGGCACGCTTTTCTACTCGCTCATATCTCTCAACAGGTTGAGCGAATAACCTCAACAAGGATGCGCATTTCCTGCTTAGCAATGACTCGACAGATGAGATGAAGCTGGATGCTCGAAGGATGCCAAAATTGCTTCCAGAACTGAACGCAATGTGGCGTTGGACTTGTGCCGCGAAGGCTATACACCCGCCGGCAGCGAAGCGGCAATGCCTTCGATTTGTTCGCTAAAAGGTGGCTTGCAGGGGTCAATGAACGCATGCCTCTCCATAGGTTCGAGATCACTTTACACACGGCTCGGCACAGGAAGTTAATTTGCGGATCAACCGGGACCCTGGGGAGCGAACCGCGGAGAGCTGGAAACGAGGCACAGTCGCTTTACAAAGGATCATCAACAGACGCGTCGGAGACCTCGGTTGACCACACTGATGGATGCGATGCCTAAGGGATTGCCAATTCTATGAACGCCACATACTTGGCATGATAATGCTCACCCCAAACTTCCGTCAGACAGGAAGACATCCGAGCCGTTATTGCAATGCAGAGTCATGATTCCGATGCAATGGAGTGGCACAGGTATACTGACCAAGATTTTGGTAGGCGGTGCAGTACTCCAGGCCAATCTCTTGCTGCATGTGTGAGCCTCACTGCCTAAGCGATGCGGCGTATACAGTGACATTGCTTGTGCGCTATCACTGACCATCACAGTCAACAGCAGGATTTCATGTGACATGGAACATGGTTGCATGTTGAGTATGTCGTTCGACCAAAGCAAGAAATGACGGATTGCGAGGACCCGGATGAAGGGGACGAGAATTCGAATTGGAACATATAGACACACAACAGCTTCGCTGATCAGCAGGACGCACACTTTCTCCACATATTTGCATCATGGACATGAACAAGCCCATCTTTACGGCACCGCCTGGATACATCGTCGATGTCAATAACCCCCAGAGAACGGGCGAAGCTGCCAACTTCTGGATTGGTACATTGGGCATGATCGTTGCCGCCATCTTCATGGCTATACGCGTCTACACGAAGACGAGACTAGCAAAGAACTTCACACCAGACGATAGTAAGCTCTTAAGTTCTGGCCAAGATCGGTAAAAGCCGAAAGCATTACGTTTAGCTTCTGACAACATCTACAGTAGCGCTGCTCATAGCATGGGTGCGTCGCATTGCAGCTTGAAAAAGATTGCATGTTCGACAAATCGTGCTAACAATCAAACCAACAGTGCTTCTCCATCGCAATACAAGTTCCCATCCTCTGTACGTCAACCAGGATCCATCTCCACCATCCCATATCTAATCACCCAGCAGTCCAATACGGCCGCGGCACTCTCGGCGTCCACATCTGGGAACTAACCGGCCACCGCGTCAATTCCACCATGAACGTAAGCACCACCCATTGACCCTTCTCAGCAACCCCGACTAACCACCCAACAGTTGATCAGCGTAGCAAGCATAATCTATTGCCCCTTCCTCGCCAGCGCCAAACTCTCCCTTCTCTTCTTCTACCTCCGACTATCCCACCTCCGCTGGTTCAAATCATGTGTCTACGCAAGCATGTTCCTCGTCGTCGGCTACAACATCGCGCTCGTCTTCCCACTCATCTTCGCTTGCACGCCTTTCCGACGGAACTGGGATGTTACTATCACGGAGGGAAGCTGTGTTGATAGGACACCTCTGTATATGGCGACGGCGGTATTGAATATGGCTACGGATATCTTGTTGCTTGTGCTGCCTGTGCCCATGGTGATTAGGTTGCAGATGCCACGGGCGCAGAAATTGGGGCTGATATGTATTTTTGGGGTGGGCTCGCTGTGAGTTCTAACTAGAGCGAGGCTACGGTAAAGATGAAAAGCATGAGCTAACAAACACGACAGAACGTGTATAACAAGCGGCGTCCGTCTAGCCCTCCTCTTCCCTATGCTGCAGACCATCGATCAAACATGGGCCATCGTCATGCCGGGTATCTGGATGTAAGTTCCTTCCATCCTAATTCACCCAATCCTCCAAAGCGGAACTCCCCACAGCGGCATTCATCCAAATGCATCACCGTCAAACACCCAAATTAACGTCCCAACCAGCCTCATCGAGACCAACCTCGTCATAATCACCGGCTGCCTCCCCACCATGCGCCTCTTCTTCCGCCACGTCGCCCCCCACCTCATCGGCGAATCTACCTTACGCAGTAGTCGGAATCGGAGTCGCGGTACCAAACAAAGTCGTAGTGGAGGAGGACATGATGCGGATGACTCGCAGCACCAATCCGAGCTCAAGACCATTGGTTCGCGGACGAAGATGACAGCGCGGTATGAGGGCGTAGATGACGATGGGGTCAGTGTGGGGAGTGAAGAAAGGATGGGAGCGGGGTGGATGTGTGATAGAGATTCAGAACGGGGGATTATTGTGAGAGAAGATGGAAGTGGAGGGATTAGAAAAACGTCGAGTGTGGTTATTGAGAGTGAGGTTTGGGAGAGTGGGAAGGGGGAAGTACGGCAGAGTGTTACGCATGCACGGTAGGCTAGAAATCAGGTAAAGAAAATCTTCGTGTTGATATCATATCTGTCTTATTTTCATTGGCGTCCTCGTCATCCCCGACGATGCCTAGAAGCTGAACTTCATACCCCCATTCGCGCAAATGACACTACCCGTAGTCCACCCCGCCTCAGGCAAACACAGCATTCCCACCACACCCCCAATCTCCTCACTATAACCTGGTCTTCCGCCCGCACCCTGGCTCGCCTCGTAGATCCTCTCCGGATCAATCCCCTTCCTTGGCGCCGCAAGCGGCGTGTTCTCGATAAACGGCTTGTTCTGCGCAATGAACGCGTCGTCGTTACTCCAGTACATATCCGTAGCAACAGGACCGGGGTTAATCGCATTAACCGTGCAGCGCTCCGCCAACTCGCGCGACCACGTCCTTGTCATGCTCTCCAGCGCTGCCTTTGTACCACCGTAGATAGATTGGCCTTTGTATCCCAGGCTCGAACTCACAGAGCTGAGGTTAACGATACGACCAGATCGATCATTCGGCAAGTACTGCGTCGCCGCCTTAACCAGCAGCAGCGGTCCCCTCACATTGATATTGAACTGCCTAGCAAAGTCCTCACAATCAACGTTCTCGACGTAGTTGTTTCCAGCGACGCCCGCGTTGTTGATGATGATGTCGAGTTGGAACTTGCCCGTCTTGGGGTGCTGGAAATTGTTCTTGGTTACCTCGACGAGGTGGGCGGGGCCGTTTTCAGAGCCCATGGATGCTTGTACGCTGATGGCTTTTATACCGTATTCGGCGGAGAGTTCGGAGGCGAGGTCTTCGGCGGTCTTGGACGAGGAGTCGGAGGTGTAGTTTATTACTACGTTGCAGCCTTTGCTGGCGAGGTTGCGGGCGATTTCTACGCCGATTCCTGGGGGTGTTAGAACTGGATGTAGTCTGGGTATGTGGCTGGGATACCTCGAGATGCTCCGGTGATGATGGCATTCCTTCCCTCCAGCACGCGCTGGCCTGAGCCACCTGCCAGGTTTGTGGAGGCGGTTCGGGTGTGAGTCGGTCTTGAAGCCATCTTGATATGCGTTTGAATATTATCCGTATATCTTTCACTGGCTCGGGGGGTTGTTGCGCTTGTTATCGTCTACTTGGCTTGTTGATGGCGGGGTTTTATACACGATGCGGGGTTGTGGAGACAGCTAAATAAGGCAAGTACTCGGTGGTTCCGCCGCCTCGTCGTGAACCCTTCGCTCGGACATTTACCGACCATCGTGAGAAGAGCTGCAGTACAAAACACCGATGACACCAAACTCGCATGCCGCCTTGGTGTTCTGCTCGAGACGAGTTGATGGCATTGTCCCGATGTCGATGATCTTCAGGGTCTGAGCTAACCCAGAAGATGCCTGTTGAGATGCAGAACCCGCTAAGAGCTGGCGCGGAGCTGATTCATGCTGTCATGGACGACGTGTTAGCCATGGCCAATTCTCAACACCCAGTCGAGAAGGGATCGTTCCTGCGTGAATCTTTACAGGGTGCCTCGTCCCTGTGCTGTGGAAACATCCGAATTCTCACCGGACACGCTTGAAGTTGCGCAAGCTCGTCACCGCCAAGGCTCCGAGCGCCCCTCCGCCGATGTCGCTTTGGGGAAAAGTTAGCATTAGCAGAGCTAGTGCGCGATAGCTGTGGGCGTGGGAGCGCTAGAGTAGCAGGATAGTCCAAGATAATCGCTCCACACTGCGTAGATTGAGGGAAGCCCTGACGAACGGCGGATTGTTCTCGCCGTTGCAGAATAAAGTTGAGGGCGGTGAGTGCATTGTCGAATCGGAGCCACGTAGGCGCCAACCCCGCGACGTTGCTGCATACGCCAGCAAAAAACATAAAGCACACCATCCGCTACCACTCTTCCTCCTACATCCCACCTTCCTCCCTCACCTCTTCCCCCTCCCCTCTATCACATTCTACCCATTCCCCCCAATTGCCACAGTTGTCCGCATCGGACAATCACATCACAATGGTACACTCTTCAGTACTCGGTTTCCCCCGCATGGGTGCGGACCGTGAGCTCAAGAAGGCCAACGAGGCCTACTGGGCGGACAAGCTCTCGCGCGATGACCTGATCAAGGAGGGCAAGCGTCTGCGATTGGAGCACTGGAAGATCCAGAAGGACGCCGGCGTCGATGTCATTCCCAGCAACGACTTCGCCTTCTACGACCACCTCCTCGACCACATCCAGCTCTTCAACGTAAGCACACGTCATCCAATAGCCGCTGCAGTCGACTAACAGGACTAGGCTATCCCAGAGCGCTACTCCAAGCACTCGCTGCACAAGCTCGATGAGTACTTCGCCATGGGCCGCGGCCACCAGAAGGACGGTGTTGACGTCCCCTCGCTGGTAAGTCCCGAATGTTCGGGAGTTATCAACACCATCTAACCCCACTACAGGAGATGGTCAAGTGGTTCGACTCAAACTACCACTACGTCAAGCCCACCCTCCAAGACAACCAGACCTTCACCCTCGCCGAGAACCCCAAGCCCGTCGCTGAGTTCCTCGAGGCCAAGGAGGCTGGCATCACCACCCGCCCCGTCCTCATCGGACCTGTCTCCTTCCTCGCTCTCGGCAAGGCCGACCGTGGTCAGTCCGTCGACCCCATCACCCTTCTCGAGAAGCTCCTGCCCGTATACGTCGAGCTCCTCCAGAAGCTGAAGGAGGCTGGTGCCGAGTACGTCCAGATTGACGAGCCTGTCCTCGTCTATGACCTCCCCCAGAAGGTCAAGGATGCCTTCAAGCCCGCATACGAGAAGCTCGTCGGCAGCGGTCTGCCCAAGCTTGTCCTTGCCACCTACTTCGGTGACATCGTCCACAACTTCGAGGTCTTCCCCAGCCTCCAGGGCGTTGCTGGTATCCACATCGACCTTGTCAGGAACCCTGAGCAGCTCGAGAGCGTCATCGGCAAGCTTGGCTCCAACCAGGTTCTCTCCGTCGGTGTGGTCGACGGCCGCAACATCTGGAAGACCAACTTCAAGAACGCCATCGAGATTGTTGAGACTGCTGTCCAGAAGCTCGGCAAGGACCGTGTCCTCGTTTCCACCTCCAGCTCCCTTCTCCACACTCCCCACTCTCTTGACAGCGAGAAGAAGCTGCCTGAGGAGGTCAAGGACTGGTTCTCCTTCGCCTGCCAGAAGGTGTCAGAGGTCGTTGTCATCGCCAAGGCTGTCAACGACGGCCCAGCATCCGTCCGTGAGGCTCTTGAGGCCAACGCCAAGTCGATGCAGGCTCGTGCCTCATCTGAGCGCACCAACAACAAGGCTGTCAAGGACCGCCAGGCCAGCGTCACCCCTGAGCAGCACGAGCGCAAGTCTGGCTTCCCTGAGCGTTACGCTCAGCAGAAGAAGCACCTCAACCTCCCCATGTTCCCCACCACCACCATCGGATCTTTCCCCCAGACCAAGGAGATCCGCATCTCGCGTAACAAGTTCACCAAGGGTGAGATCACACCCGAGGAGTACGAGAAGTTCATCGAGAAGGAGATCGAGGAGGTCGTCAAGATCCAGGACGAGCTTGGCCTTGACGTCTACGTCCACGGTGAGCCCGAGCGTAACGACATGGTGCAGTACTTCGGTGAGCGCCTTGACGGTTATGCCTTCACCACCAAGGGTTGGGTCCAGTCTTACGGATCCCGCTGCGTCCGTCCCCCGATCATCGTCGGTGACATCTCGCGCCCTGCTCCCATGACCGTCAAGGAGTCCAAGTACGCCGCCTCCATCTCCAAGAAGCCCATGAAGGGTATGCTCACTGGACCCATCACCTGCCTCCGATGGTCCTTCCCCCGTGACGATGTCCACCAGTCTGTCCAGGCCCAGCAACTTGCTCTCGCCCTCCGCGACGAGGTTGTTGACCTCGAGTCTGCTGGCATCTACGTCATCCAAGTCGACGAGCCCGCTCTCCGTGAGGGTCTTCCTCTCCGTGCCGGCACTGAGCGCGAGAAGTACCTCTCATGGGCTGTCGACTCCTTCAAGCTCGCCTGCGCTGGTGTCCAGGACTCTACCCAGATCCACTCCCACTTCTGCTACTCCGAGTTCCAGGACTTCTTCCACGCCATTGCCGCGCTCGATGCTGATGTCCTCTCCATCGAGAACAGCAAGAGCGATGCCAAGCTCCTCAAGGTCTTCGAGGACAAGGCTTACCCCCGCCACATTGGTCCCGGTGTCTACGACATCCACTCCCCTCGTATCCCCTCCGAGCAGGAGATCAAGGACCGTCTCGCCGAGATGCTCACCTACCTCAAGCCTGAGCAGCTCTGGGTCAACCCCGACTGCGGTCTCAAGACCCGTCAGTGGAAGGAGACCAAGGCAGCGCTTGTCAACCTTGTCAACGCGGCCAAGTTCTACCGCGAGAAGTACTCTTCTTAGGCTCTTTGCCATTTGGCATATCCTCTTTGACCTCGTTTCATCAACGGGGTCAGTTCAAGCAGCATATCAACATGCCGCTTTGTAA